ACTACTAGGAAACCTGAACCACACACCCGTTCCCTCGTTAGGGAACAAAGCTCCAGTAGAATTATTCTGTGAACTACCGCTACCATCTCCTCTGGATTTTTGTGTGGATCCTAAACAACGGAAAATCTTGGAACTGCCCGAACTATCGGAGGAAATCGAGCCGTGGCTGGCAGCCTTGAAGTCTAGTATCCGTGCTATGCACAAACCAAAGATTATGGCGCGAGCTCAACAGACAGAGCGCAACCAGAGACGCAACCAACATACACAGCAACCGAATTTCGATGTGGGAGATTACGTGTTGAGGTCAAGGGTGGACCATAAACACCAAGACAAATTGCTAGTGACATGGATAGGCCCATACCAGATTACACGAGCGGATGTGCATTCTTTCGTGGTTTAGGCACCTAGTGACGGGGGAGGAAACGGATGTTCACACCTCAAGATTGAAGTTCTATGCAGACAGCTCGTTGCACATCACGGAAGAGATTCGCGTGCATGTAGCAGCTCAGGGTCAACTCCTAGCTGTTAACGAACTTTTAGACTACAGATGGAACACAACAAAGAAAGACTACGACATACTAGTGAGCTGGAAAGGTATGGAGCCCATCGAGGACTCATGGGAGTCAGCCAAGTCTCTGGCCAAGGACATTCTTGTACTACTGAAGCAGTTTACGGCTGGACGAGAAGATTCCGGTCTCGATCGCCATCTTGGTGCATTGATGACGTAGGGCGATCAGACTGACAAGTTGAAGATGATGTAGCCATCTCCGCAGATCTGAGTCTGAGTCTGCGATGACGACTGTGCGTCACCAGTTGGAATTTTCGACAGACCGATTTGGACAGACTATTTTCGACAGCTGGTATTTGTGACACCTATTTTCGACAACTCATTTTCGACAAATTATATTTTCGACATTTCATATTGTCGACAATCTCAAGAACCCGACAGACTGGGCAAGGCTTGGGTGGGCGGTGAAGTGGTGGGCGAACAGAGCAAGCCTAGCCCATTCACCGGGCGATGTCAACGAGCGGACAGCGCCAAACTGGCAGCAGATAAGGACAATAGGATGTAGGTTAAGTAACCACCGAGGCCAACCGAATGGCCGCAGAGATCACTTAGAAACTAACCTAGAACCAACAACAGAGCTATGGTCTGCCAGGAAGCGCCAGCTTCCTTCGTAGTGTTCGAAACCTACTACAGGAACCAGCATCTAGACTTTATAACGGTCACTTGTGACTACACAGAGGCGTTGGCTGAAGGGTCAACCGTAGGCTCTGAAGAAGTAGGCGTCGTTAGCTGATCCAGCGCTGGTAGATAAACTGGATGATCCCGGAGCCACGTACGGTAGTAGCGTGATCGGCTCGTCACCCGAGCAGACTGAGAACGTGGAAGTAGCCGTGGCGTTGGCGCAATCGATCTGCGTCGTGGGGCCGTCGCTGCCAATATCCGTAGGTTTCTCGTAACACGTTCGGATGACCGAGAGCTTGTTCTCGCCGTCTACAGCCGAGCCGAACACCATCACCTTGTAGTCATATAGTGCTTCAATCTCGGCCAACGTGGTCTGCGGGGTATCAAGCGCCGCCCAGACGTTGATCTGCTCGGTTGCAGCACTGATACGATCCGCAGTATTGAGCGTCGCCTCGAAATACGTGACGGCAGCGGCCTCAAGACCAGCGCCTTGGGCAGCGTAGCAGAGTCCATGCTTCTGCAACTCGTGGTCATAGATCTCGCACAGTGTATCGTACGTCGAGTCTGCGGATGCGTCGATCCATTTCTCGCCCATTTCAGCGAGGAGAGTCGCTTGGTTCTCAGAGAACTTAACGGCATCGTATGGATCGTTCTCGACCGTGTCACTCGGGTTATAGCAGCTCACATAGCCGTCGTTATAGTTTGACCACAGACCGTGGATTGTCAGCTTGCTGACAACACGCTCTGGGACACAAACTGTGCCGTTCGGGTATGGATTCACGTTCTGGTGCGAGATGGTGCCGTCCACGCCGACATGTAGATCGCGACAGAACTGCGGCACAAAGAGCTGCTCCAGGACGAGATAGTCGAAGTCACCGGGCACTTTTTCCTTTGCCAAGCACGTGGGGTCCTTGGTTAGACACGTAGCACTGGGAGCCGAGCAGATATCCACGCACTCTCCGGAAGACGTGGAGCCGTCGACCCAACCACCAGCGTAGTCAATAGCTTGCGTCTTCGTGAAATGAATCTAAACAAACAATTGTACATATTTTTTTACCGCGTACCGGGCGATCCGTAGAACAGGTCGGGGTTGATGTACCTTTTTAATTAACTTCAGGGGAATACTTAAAAAGTTGTACTATAAAGTGGCAACTGACATACTACATTAGTTGTACTGCATTCTAAACCGAAATCACGTAGGCAGGTACTTTCCTATTGATATGTGGAATGGCATAGCCCTCTTTTTTTAGGACGATGAAACGTTTTCGTATAGTGGGAACACAAAAAAGAATAGATGTGAGAAACTTCAACATGCCAAATCTTCTTGTAGGTTTTACATCACACTACACTTATGGATGAATGAAATACGTTGATAGATTCCGCATGGAATGTGGTCTCGAACAATATCACAACCGCTTCTTTCCTAAAGTGTGTTTTTATTGTCAAGGGACCACTTTTATTTCGTCAATTAGATTTGTATAGATCGTTAAAGAACATGTTGACGTTAAGAAGATATTGTAAGGGATTTAAAAAGAAAACATAATGCATTTACTTCTTAAAAGTACGGGCAAAAGCTACCGAAGCCTTTCTCTTTCTGGAGCGTCTGTGGCTCCACGTGCCTCGCTTGCTCTTTGCTTGGAATTTTGGAAACTTGTCGAAAACCCGTCTTGTAAAAGATTCAATTTCTTGTGATCCACATCGTGCTCTTGTCGCGTAAATGTACGATTCAAGCAAATCATTCTTTAGAATGAAAACGTATCCATCGATAATGCTCCATTGGTCTATCGCTGGCACATGTGGCTTGTACCCAAGAACAACCGAATGATACACTAAACTGTTTGTGTACACAACGTCACCAGGTTTTTGAACGACCACCACTGTGCGGTGGTGGGCTGCCATCCGATTGAAAGCTCCACAATCAAACCTAAAAGAATTTTTTTTTCGCAAATTCAAAATCCAAAAAGGCAATCCATATTTTGAAACAATCCTTTAAACAAGGTGGTATGTACGATAATACCCGGCCGTAATTCACGTGACCTGGAGTTTCCCTGTTGCGGGCTTGCACCCAGCTTTCTCGTTCGCATACAACATCAGTAGAGGCTGGAATGAAAAACTTGTCTTGATATGCTTGAATTGTCCACCCGCATTGTCCTGGTGGAGTCGCCAAACCTCGGCTTCTTGATAATCCAACTTGCTTGTCCACAAATGCCGGGACATTTTGCGTTCCAAATTCGTTGTATAAATGACTCAAGGTCTCAGAGAGACGGTCTCCATCACAACCAGAAACCAAATCATTGTACGCCCCGGTGAACACTAAAATCGGGGCTCCACTCGATACAGCATTCTCCAGATTAAAACCACCACTGCGGTATCTGTCTATTGATCGCTCAATATTGCGGCATAACAGC